CTCAAAGGTGAGCTCTCTTACCCTGGGAGCATGTTGATGGTGTTGAAATGGTCTTTCCCTAGTTGACTGGGATGTTATGGGTGGTATCCACAGCAGAGATGCAGCAGGTCTGGTTTTGGTGTATTTGGGTTGCCTTTGGTGGAATGACTTTTGTCTTCTCTTTTGAGAAACTTCCACATTTGTTGCACTTAATAGTGGATTCTGTACAGATTATTAACTGTTATAGCTAATAATGCAGGCTCCATTGCTGCCAGCTATCCTAGCCAATCCATTGCACTGATTTTCTCTTTTGTTCTTCCTTTGGGGAGAATAATGGAATTTGATAAAAGATTTGGACTTTTTATTTTGGCTTTGTGACAGAATTAATCTAAAGGCTTTTTAACATCCTCATCACCTAAAGGAACACTTTAATCCAATATTGGGGCATGGTACACAAGTTCAATTTGGAGATGCTTTGTAAAGTATGTAAATCAGTGATGTAATTTCACAGTGATTTCTCTCGCTGATTGAGAAGCTAAATTGTGAAGCAACAGATAAGATGTAAGAAAGACAAGCCAAGCTGATACAACACAGGATGGGGACAAGAATGCAGAACTGGACAGTAGACATTTTCCCAGAGATCAAAGGCAGAACTCCTTTCAGCATTCCAAGGGAATTAAAGGGCAAACTCAGGAGTTACGATGTATTCCTGTCTTAGACCATATGCTTGAAAGCTTTCGCATCTCTCAGTATTTACATTTCTTGCACTTCTTATGTTATTTTAAACAAGCTTGTAAAGCTATTTTCCCATGTCAGTGTCTGGCTCCTATTTCTGCTTCATGAACAAACTATTAATAGCAACAAATCTCTTGTGCATCCTGTTTCTTTTTCAGTGTAAAGTATCACTAGATATGAACAGCAGTATTGAAGCACTGGGTAAACAAATGAACTTTTTTTTTTTACTGACATGAAAGACAAAAAATTACATACACCGGATGAGGTTAGTTCTCCACACCCTCATTCCAGTTTCTTTGTATGCTACTTGGAAGACTTCAGTATTTAGTTTCTCATTAATATCAACCTGATGATTTGGGATTTGGAACTTGCAGAAAGCATTTGTAATAGTAATGTGGAAAAATCCATTAGAACTTTTATAGTAGGCGTGGTGGCATGGATCATGGTATACCAGATAAAATTGTGTAAGACAAAAGTGGCTGAAGTGTGTCCGGAGAAGGGCAACAAAGCTGGTGAAGGGTCTAGAGAGTAGGTCACATGAGGACCAGCTGAGATTGTTTAGTCTGGAGAAGAGGAGGTTCAGGAGAGACCTTGTCACTCTCTACAACTATCTGAAAGGAGGTTGTAGTGAAGTGGGTGCACCAGGGGAGGATCAGGCTGGATGTAAGGAAGAACTTCTTCACTGAAAGAGTGTTTAAGCATTGGAATGGGCTGCCCAAGGTGGTAGTGGAGACACCGTTTCTAGAAGGGTTCCAGAAATGACTGGATTTTGCACTTAATGCATGGTCTAATTGACGTGGTGGTGTTTGGTCAAAGGTTGGACTCCATGATCTTGGAGGTCTTTTCAACATTAATGGTTCTATGAATCTGTGGTGTGAAATAATAATTCCCTTTCTGTGTCCCCAGTTTGAGACACACACACAAACACATAAAAGAGAGAAATGATGTCTTTCCTCCTCTCCCCTGCCAACAACTGCATAAAATGAGAACATCTTACTGAATACCCTTTTCATGGCTTAGTTGGACAAATAACATTGATAATTTCTTGGTTATGACTGCTGGTTATGAACTGCTGATTAAATTTCAAAACTGTCCAAGTAAACTTACTGTAGTTTTGTAGGGCAGTCCATGTGTTCTTCAGTGAACAGAGTTTTGGAGCTATTGGAAAAACAACAAAATGCAAAGGTGAAGTCAGATCTTGCAGTCTCTTGTTCACAGGACAGATCAGAATAATCAGAATATCTCTAAAAGATTACACACATTTTGTGTTCAAATTTTTATCTTGTTTTTGTTCAACTTTCTGTGGATATCCCTCAAACCAAAGTTTATCAACTCTAAACTTCACCTGGGCAACAGCTTGTACCTCTGTTGCACCATCCCAGACAGTAATTTACAAAATCAGTTTAAAAGACAGTGTAAAAGTGATGATTCTTTTTTTCCAAGGTCTTTCTATAAGAAAAAAAATACGTCTGTTGAGAGTGACTGTAGGCTAGACAGTGGGTATTCTGAGGTCTCTGGATTTAACTTGCTCGTTATATGACTGACTTATATGAGTTATGTGACCTCTTGGCTCTCATGAAGTGACAAGGGCTGCTGTCTTGTTAGGAATGCTCCAAATTCCCTTGAAACCTAGAGGAAGTCAAGGATGATCTGTTGGTGCAATGCACAAATGCAGGGCTGAGTGCTCTGCAAGATCTGAGTACTTCTGCCTTCTGCTTTTAATAAATTTAGATGGGATTTTATTTGGGAATATAATGATCAGTTGCCATTTTTTCTAGCTCAGTAACCTAAGGATACGAAACTGTTAGTTAAAAGGCTAACTAAAGATTTTTAAGTGATGACCATCTCTTTTTGAAGCTTCAACATTTCTCACTAGCAGGATGTTTCTAATACTGCAAGGATAAAAAAAAAATTCCTCATACTAGCTGAGTATTTCAGTGTGTCGGATTTGACCCTGTGCAGCCAAATCAGGACATTTCTTAAGTCTCACTCTGAGTTTTGCAGGGCTCAAGCAGTCACTGATGTTTTCTCCTGGATAAAGATCTTAGCTTTAACAAACTGTCAAACAAAATCAAAAAGAATTTTTTGCAGTGTGGAATCACTATATATTGTTCCTCTTCTGCTTATAGTACTCCTTAGAAAAAACCGAAACAATACTGTGTCTGCTTCTTTCATTTGCTTGTTTTGTATCATTTTTGCTTATGGCTGGGATTCACTGTGATACTTTCCCATCTATGTTGTTATCATGGCTCTCGAGTGACTCCCACGTTAGGCTGGAGAAGATGTATATCTATCTTTTCTCTGTGTCAAAACAGACAGATAACTGCAGACATGCAGGAATAGTCTGCAGAGAGAGGAACTCTTCTTTCTTCCTGATTCTTTTTTTTAATGTGAAGTCTTTTTCCTTCCCCTTCCTTTTATAGTAGGCTCTGTGTAAGCTCTTGGTTTGTGCTTGATGATTCACTGCAGACTGTACTGCTGAATAGATCTTCTGAGTGTAGGAATCACTGGTGATCCTTAGAAAACAGAGTAAAAGCAGAATTCTCCCCAGTGAATGCCTTTTCTGCACATTCACATCAGAGACCTCCCCAAATGGCTTCCAGCACAACAGAAGAATTTTCTCAGGAGTGCTTGAGGCTTCATGAGCTGAGAAAGACCCATCTGAAGTGTGTAATTAAAGCAGCATCTCCTCACAAGGAATTAGATATCCTATTTCTGACACACAGACTCAAACAATATTAATCTGTGCAAAAGACCTTCCATTTGCTGAAGCAGTAGTATTGCTACAGCTGGTTTTTTTTTTTTTACTTTTTGGGAATTTACATCACTGCTTAATTAAAAAAGGACAGCCTTAGTCTCAGTGGACCAGACCTCTTAACACCTATAAACATTTTTGCCCTCCTCCTGCTCTTCAAGATATGCTTTGATTTGTAATCATGTTTCTGTCCATCTACAGGGGAAAACAACCCCAAATTTCATGGTTCATCTCAATGTGTCATATTTTTGCTTCTGTTTCACAGACCACTCTTTGGTGGTGTCTCTTGGTGCTTGGAAAGAGAGAAAAGGAAAGTCAGTTTGAAAAATGGTGTTTCCAAAACTGAGAAACTTGTTCGAAACATGAGAGAGAAAAAAAAGGAGGCGGCAGCAAAATACTTTAAACAATCTGATAAAAAGAACAAGGAGGATTGCACCTGAGAGTACCAGTACTGTCTTGGAGAAGGGTCCATCTTTTTTGGTTGTGATTTGGCAATTTTCTCTACTGTGATAGCATCATACCACTGATGCAAAGATGTTCAAGCGACACCGAGACACTATGTTCTGTGACAAATAACCAACTAGGAGAGGTTTTTTTGTTCTTCCCTTGTCAGCTGTTCATGCAGAGCCTTAGATAAAAGGACAAGCAAAATCCTGCAGAGATTTTGAAGTCCTCATAACTGTAGAGATACCAAACAGGAAGGATTTTTTACTGGGCCAGGTGCAAGTGGTGCTGTTTTAGCAGTGTGAAGGTCTTACTGCACTCCTGGCACTACCAACTCTTGTTTATGTGGGTAATCCATTCAGCACACACAGTACTAGAGGCATACTAGCTCCTAAGCTCAGGTGGCTTAAAAGTTGGCAGTACTTGTAGGTTCTGAAGATGTCTTTCCAAACATGCTCTTAGCTCCAGCCAAGAGTCCATGCCTATGACTGAAAGAAGCATTTTTACAAGCAAAATAAAGTAAGCAGGGCAGACTTATAATAATGACAGTACCACGAAGAAAATGAAAAAAACCTTCACTTCAGGAAAAAAAGTCTAGAATTAAAATTTTTATATTATTTATGTGTCTCACAGCACAGCCTCCCATTTTTTACTCTGTACTGTTAATATATTATACCTAGTCTTCAAATGTTTTTTGGGAAATATTAGAGATCTAAAATCCAAGTCCATGTGTCAGAGACAGCAGATAGTGGTAGGTAATTTTCTGATGAAGTAAAGATGATTTTACATATCCTCTGTCTCTGTAAAATTATTCAGGAGCACTAACCATGCATTTGCACTCACTCTATGAGAACATGGTCTCAACAATGATCACTGATTATGCCCAGAAATTTACTTGACTGTGTTTTCCAATAAAGATTTTGCTACCAATCTGTGATTCATTTTGTGTATTTCATTTTCCTATTGCAAAGTGTATCTGGTATTTCATGTAGCTGCAAGATGTCTCATGCCTGCAAGATGCATGTGGCAGAATACTTCTTCCCAGCATTTACATCAGTTTCACTCTTTGATGTTACCTCTTTTTCAGATTCATTATGCTGGTGCTGCTGACAGTTCAGTTCAGTTCATCTTCTATCAGCCTATCATTCACCGATGGAGGGAAACTGATTTTTTTCCTTGTTCGGCATCCTGTGGAGGAGGTAATGAATTACCACTGTAATCCAAAAAGTCATTTGCATACAGGACCTGTCCTGTCCCAACTGCTGCCCTTGGTTTTGGGTCTTTAAAATGGGCAAAATCTGAAAATGAAAATAGTTGCAACTAAATGAAGGGAGTGATTTAGCAACGTGGTAGTAGGCTGTAGTTTTTTAGCATTGTGCACACTCCACACATAAAGTACATCTCGATATCTACATGTCTGCATTTAATGCTACAGCTGTCAAACATAAGGGCTGATGGGATTTGGGCCTGCTTTGGAATCACAAGATGTCTCTATTTGTCCCCTGTCTATACTGAAACTGAGGGCACAAATGTTGATGGCCAAGAAACCTCAGCCTTTGATTTTTCTTTTTTTGTTCTAGGCTTCTGAATTTTTGTTTGACCATACTGGTTATCTTTTTGTTTCCTACTACATGTTATTTATATGCTGTTTTCAATCTGGTCTGTAAATCAACAGCTGTTATGTGCAAAAGCACTGAAGCAAACTGAAATTAGTTTGCTTTTTACCAAATCAGAACTTGGATGCATTTCAGAGAGAGACAGGAAGAGCACCACATCTTATATGATTTATTCTACTGTGTATTGCAGGTTATCAACTGACATCTGCTGAGTGTTTTGATCTGAGAAGCAGCCGGGTAGTAGCAGATCAATACTGCCACTATTATCCTGAAAATATCAAGCCAAAGCCAAAACTTCAGGAGTGTAATCTGGATCCTTGTCCTGCAAGGTCAGTCAGCTTGAATTTTAAAAGAGGCTGAGGTCTAAAGGAGTAAAAGTAGGAAAATATTCTGTTGCTTTTGCGCACAGTGTCATTTATCCTGTATAATTCAACCTCTTTCTCATCTGAAAAATGCACTGTGTAGAAGAACACCTCTGTTTAGCACCTTCACCGTTGCAAGGACTGATTTGAAATGGTTGTTTCTTCCCTTCCAAAATGCATTTTGCCTCATTAATCATTACAAAGTACAGGAAAACAAATGCTCCATGATTCCATCCCCATGATCAGCATGTCCCTTAAGTGAAAGTAAGATGGGAAAAACTCTTCAGTAAAAATGTTGTTGGAAAATTACTGTCATCACAATTAGAGGAATTATTTTTATGTGGTTTTTTTAAAACATTCTCCTTAATAAAAAGCTTAGTTGCAGTTATGGCAGCTTGTAAGAATGTAATGAGTAAATTTTTTCTAATTATCAATATCCTTTTGCCCTGCACAAAAGTCTCCTCCCTGCTACCCCACAGAATCACAGAGTGGGTAAAGTTGGAAGGGATCACAGTGGGTCATCTGGTCTGATCTGCCTGTTCAAGCAGGATCATCCTAGAGCACATTACACAGGATTGCATCCAGGCGGTTCTTAAGATGGTTAGATTTACCTGTTACAGTACCAATGAGAAAGTAATTTTATGTAGTTGCTTTATTTATTTATTTATTTATTTATTCTAAGCTGCTTTAAAAAAAAAATACAGTTCTGTGTCAAATATGTAATTTGCCTTTTGGAATTTATGGATATTTTTCATACTTTTCCCAATGATTTTAATTGATATATTCTCAAATGGTAAGACAGACGACTGCACAGTGCATGGGAGGAAAGAGAGAAGAAAAATAACAACTGGGTAGATGTCAGAAAGCAATTTTTGTTTTATACAAGACATACCAAGGCGAAGTTGTTGATATAAAGACCCTGAGGGGAGGGAGAGTCATTTAGAAGTACAGCTATGCTATCCTAGGGTACACGCTGTAACAGAGAGGAATTGGCTTTTTGAAAACATCCTCACAGAATGCCAAATTGCAGATGATAACACCTATTTCAGGCACTGTGAAGAGATCAGTTTTTAGCAGTCTATGGCAATGATAATTAAACCATGTGTTGCTTAGAATTTGAAATCTCTGCACCTTGAACAAGTAATTTTTTATAAAGGTGAGATACTGTTGTGCTGAAAAGATGTCCTGTTTAAAGCAAGAGGTTTTTCTGGAGGCTGACACCAAAGGACAGCTTTCTCAGCAGTCCTTTTCATTAAAGTAGGGGTTTTTTTAAGTATCCACTGACATTCCATTTTAAAATGTTTAGGTAGGGACATTGGCTTTTACCAATCTGTAAAGTAGTAAGACCATATGAAAGAATATATAAATACAAAGTATGTGATAGTTCTTCAAGATTCACATTGATAACCTGATAAAATGATCAGAATACTACCTATATATCAGGACTAAGCATGGTGCTCCAGATATGTAACTTATACTGGTATTGCAACTGGGAATTATACTCACTGCAAAAATAGGCATTTAGAAACCAATGTTGCCTGTACCTGTGGTGTTGCTGTAGGTGTCACCTACCCCAGCTCTGAAGGGAAATAGTAATGGTTTTACAAAATAACACATGGGAAGCATTAAGGGATACCATCTCTTTGAGGACCTCAGTAACTGTTTCTCAACACAGAAAGTGTTCTTGTAGCACAGGGAGATAATGCCACAGTGTGGCATCTTTAGAGAGCACTGAAGTGCAGTATCACCCACCTTAGTGTCAGGATTTGTAGTGTTAAAGTGGAATCTTTTTCACAGGCCTGTCGTCTGTCCAGTGATAATCATAGCTCTCATGGATATGCTGGCTCAGATGCTGAACTGTTGTCTTCTGTGGTGAACTTTTTCATGTCTTCCCGGTGTTTCCTTTAGCTTAATGAATTAGCTGTCCACAGCCAACTTAAGTTACTTCAACTTTTTATTATTATGTGCTCATTACTAATAATATCTTTAACATACTCCAGACCATTGCTTAGATGGCACACTCCCTGCCATGCAGATCATTTACTCTCAAGTCTGACAGATTTCAGTGAAGGCTTAAGCCTGGGCTGTGTGAGTCCCCATCAGGAAAGACGTATGATAGCTCCAGCCACCTGGGAGCATGGGCAGCCATGCTGCTGTAGCCCTATGAGTAGTACACCCCTGGGAAAACAGAGACCTCAGCAGAAGTGAAGGCTGTGAGCCAAAGGCATGTGAGCATCCTGCAGAGGCTGGGCACTGGCACAGCAGGGTGCAGGACGCCAGCAAACCAACAGCAGGTGCCCCTACCCACTCCTGTCCTCAGCACATCATCCTCGTGCAGGGTCACACCACCCTGAGGCATTTTGGGGGTAGATGTCCTTTCTCTCTGCTGGCTCCTCTCCCAGTTCTAGCACCCATTCCCCTACTTGGCTCAACAGATGTCCAACGGAGACTTGCCAGGATGCAGGAGAGGGAGATGGGAAGGGCTGGCACCTTGTCAGGGAGAGGGAGTCATTAGGGACAGGAGAAAGGCATTCACATTTGTCACCTATGCTAAACGGGGGTAGCTTAAGGAGGAAAAGGAGCAATTGGGGAAGAGGACATCAAACATGACTTTCAAGAAATGCAGCTGCAGGCAGTCATCCCAGGGGAAAGCAGAATGCTTGCAGAGGTGGCAGACCTGGTTGCAGCACTCCCACCTCTGGCATACGCAGCTCCTGCTCCAGCCATACATGTCCCTTGGAAGAGCAACTGTGCTGAGGCTGCCAGCACTCAGAAGGAAAACAAAGCAATCTGCATACTATATGACAGGACTTTTTGGTCTGAAAGGCATGGGAGATTTCAGACATATGAGACACAACAGCTCAACAAAATAATTTGCTTTGTACTTCTGCTCCTACCAAAGCTCTAGGTATATTGCGAATGAGTCCTGTTAACTACTTGCACATATTTCAGTGAAGGAATTGTTATTTCCTCTGTTCATTTAGCACACCATCTGCTTTGCATTGGCTCAGTGACATATAGCAAACAGAGCCCATAAAGTAGATCTCTTCCATCTTTTTTATAGGAGTATGATGGTAGATTCATAGAATTTAAACCACTTTGTCCAGTCAAAAAGTAATGATTCACTAAAGTAATCCCTTCAGATTTTTTTTAAAGTGTTCACTTAGTCTTGAGGTTTTTTCTGGAACATATACAAAAACCTCACACAAGACTAGCTAGAAAAGATGCAGTTGTCATTAATGATACAATGACCACCTGTTCTTCTGTTGTATCTTTAAGCCAGTTTTTTTGAAAAGTCATAAATTAAGCTATTGTGTATTATTGTGGGGGTCTTGTGATTACATTGCTGTGAATCACTGTCTTGCAGTTACAGAATGAGAGCCTTTGGCAGGCCCTCACATATGCACAAGGATAGTGTCAGTAATTCTGTGGAGCTCAGTACTGTTTACAGAAGTGCAGTTTATGTATGCAGAATTCTTTGAGGGTCAAACCTTTCCAATGAAAATATTAATCTAGTGTTTTTAACATGTTATTTCATATTCATAACAGTGTTTCGATGTGGTATGGTTATTTCTATCTGAATGGTCTTGGGAATTATGCATTCTAAAACATGTAGACCTGGATTATGCATACAGATCATGTTTGTTAGAAAGAAAGTATTTTCACTGCAGTGAGTGAGAAATATTTTGAAATCTGTTTCTTTCTTAGGCGGTAGGTGCTTTTATAGTGTAATTATTTCATTTTGAACTCGGTATATAAATGTTTTTTTCCAACTGCTTCTCAGCAAGCTGATGAGCTGGAAAGTGCAAAGGCTTCAGAGTGGAACTTCACAGCACTGCTGAAAGAGTCTGGAAAACAGTAGATTTCCAAAAGCATGGGCAAAAAAACCCTCAGAAAAAGTTCCTTTCCATCTTCTTAAAATACTTGTACTCAATTCTTCTTAAATTCTTCAAGCATTTACCCTCGAAGCTAAGTCTGAAAAGACTTCTTCCCTGACCATCGTCTAAATGACCCATCTGACTTGTCCAAAGTTTCCCAGTGCCAGAACTACCTCTTCTAGCTTTTGAGATTTTTGTGGGGACAAGCAGCTCTCCAAAGATGCAAATATGCGCACTCGTGCGGAGGGTTCCTTTGACTGCAGAGGCTGCTACTTTTACAAGGAACTGTCTAGTCCCCATCACGCATTTCCAGGTCTCCAACTGCTTCTCGTTCTTCATCTGGAAAATTCCAGTGCACTGACCTGCTGCTGACTCCTTGCTGTGAAAACACAGTGGGATCCATTCTTCTGTCCTGGACAGGTTATGCGCTAAAACCCCCTGTTGACTGAGAGGAGAAGAGACCCCTTCAGCCTTAGCCTGACAAAACTTCTTTAAATGCTTACAGCATACTTTAGTGAACTGTGTTGAGGATAGAGAATACGTTCCCCCTTTCCTCTTCTTTGCTCCTTCCCCCTTGCAGAAATTCATAGCAGGATACCAGCACCTCTCATCTGTAAAGGACTCCCAAAACCCACCTTTTTTCTTGTCATCCAGTTTCATCTCTCCATAACTTGGGTAAGGACACACTTTTTATTTCAATGCAATTGGTATTCATTTTTCAATGGTTCCACCCACCTGCCCTGTCCAAATCCCCAGGTGGATTTGATGAAAATGATAATTGAAGTGCTCTGAGATCATCTGTTTGATGTTAATAGATATGCCTGAATTGGGAGAATAATGGTTAGAATTATTCTGAGTCAGAATTTACAAAAAGTGGGGATAAAATATGAAATTCCGGACTAGTAATTCAGTGAGACCCTATAGTTGCCAACAAGACAAGTGACATCTATCTCACACATAACTGGCATGATAGTGTTTCAGATGATTGCTAATTTTGATCTATACTATTGCTTTTTATAACCTGTAGATGTTATATTATTTAGATATCATACCAATAACACTACTGCAAAGCAAGCCAATCAGTCACAACAGCACAAAAAACAAAGAAATAAAAAACCCAGTCTGACATGTTAATCTCTCAAGCTCCTCATTTCTTCCAGAAAAAAAAGGCAAATAAAGAAGCAGATCTGGTCTAATTTAAGATGAGGAAACAAGAATTGCAGATTTGAATTCTTGCACAGTGATTCCCCAAATTTCTAATCTTGGCTCCTATTAAAGCAGAAGTTTTATGTGAAGGGCAGAAACAACCATATATTTTAAAAAGGATTTGATCTAGAGCTCTCAGAAGCACAGATAAGTTCCCTTATTAAGCACAAGTATTAAGCATAGAAACATTGTTTTTATGCTAGGTAACAACACAATAAATTTAAATAATATTTGGATCACTTGTGGCAATGGATTGCTTCTTTGGCAAACAGTAATATATTTATAACAATAAAGTAGTAATCATTTTTTGAACAACTCAGAAACAATAGGATGGGAGCATAAGTTTTGTTTTAAATGACAGCTTAGGTAAAATATCTTGTTTGGCTGGTTTGTAATACTGTAATACAAAAAGTTGTAAAAGGTAATACAATATCGTAATGTAAAAAGTTGTATAACATAATCATTTAGTGTCTATTTTATTATGTGTACCTTCCACTCAGAGGGTTGGCATTATTGTTCCTAACAGTGATGGATACAAGCAGATCATGCCCTATGACCTCTACCATCCCCTTCCTCGGTACGTAAAACAGTCAACCGGTTCTAGGCTTAACAAATACATTTTCTTCTTCTTTTTCTCTTCTCTGCAATTCTGCTTTGCTCTCAAACTAAGTTAAAAGATGCTGCTTTTCTCTTGCTCTGATTTCCTACAAATTAACCTAGAGATGTTCAAGTGCTAACTTGTCTGTCAATGCCGAACTGAAATCGTATTCTAGCTGAAGCAGAAATGCAGACTTACTAAGTGTGTGGTCCCTTTCTTTCTCTCTTTCCTCAGCCCCCACCTCCCCTTTTCTCTTGCACTTTTCCTTTTTTTCCTTTACTTCTCTGTGAACAGGACTATAACCTGTTGCTCTGTAATTAACCAAAGGACTTTCCCTCTCTTCCCCCCCTATAGTGCTGCTTCTTGAATGCTTATAAATTGTTAGATTTTGAGGTTTGACAGCATTAGTGTTGTGTTCTGATCCTACAAACCCATGCTAATGCCTTCCCTGGGGTCATTAATTCATTGGCCTCTCTAAGAAATAAGAAATCACAGGTACAAATCAAGGCCTGATTTTTATTATTAATTATATCACAATTAAAATGTCTATAATGTAGGATTTAAGATTCTCATGGAAATAATCAGATGAGTAATTATTCTTAAAACTGTGAATAAGACTCTTGATGATAAAAATGTTTGATAGTTGAATGATAATAACCTTTAGGTTTCGAAATACCACCTGGACGTGCCATGGTATTGTGCTGTTTCCTTCTTCATTGATTCATTGTGTCATGGATTATGAAATCACAGAAAGAACCCTGTAGGAAACTGCTAGTCTCATCCTGGTGAGGAAAAGACCTCCCTCAAACTGTGTCATGGCCTAATACAGAGAGCTTTCAGCATCACTGCAAACGCAGTGCAGTGCAGAGCAACTTACTAGACAAGTGTTGTGATGGCCATTCATGTTCACATCGTTTGTCAGTTATCTGTGCCATTAGGGTTAGGCTTTTCTCTTCCTAGATAAGTGCTTATTGTTAGGTACACATAGTCAGTATCCCCAGATATTTGTGAGATACACTTATGAAATATATCTCTGCATCTAATTCTGGTTTTCTGGGAAACACTTTTCTCTGTTCTTTATTTAAAAAAAACCACCCTCATGCATACTTCCAAGCCTCAGAAGTTAAACTTGCTTGTAAGGAATATAGAAGCTTTAACACTCTAGCTTTAAATTAAACAAAGTATATTTCAATTGTGTACAAAGGGCTTGAACATTGATAAAAGACAGAGAATAATTTTATATCAGGAGGTGATTCAGCAGTACTTAATAGTGTAGGGATTGTATTTAGGTAAAAAGCATTCTGAGCTGGCAGCTAGGCGGAGGCTTTTTTACTGCTGAAGAATATCCAAAAATAAAGGATCAAAATGCCCTGCAGTATTTGGCTTTCAGTAATACTGAAAGAAAAAACAAAACAACATCCTTCCCTGAAAATGATCAAAAGCTGTTCTGGATTATGGTTTCATCCCATAACTGTCCCTTTACATCCACTCTCCCAGGCTTATTGCTCTCCTTTAAATCCTTTAAATATGTAACTTATTATCAGCACAAAATGATGGCTGTGGCATGGTGTAAAAATGGTTTCACCACTCCTATTGGTAAGTCGTAGTATTAATCAGTGGTCTTAACATTCATAAATGATTATTAGTATAAAGCATTTCACCTTGAGTTTTATGGTACTTTCAGGCAGTAGCCAAGTGTAGGTAGTGCTAGGTGTACTGGAAAAGATAAGAATATGGTTGATATGATGAAAAATCTGAGAGAAAAATAAACATTTTTCATATTGCTTGACAATCTTGGGAATTCTGTAATTGTTACTTAACAAAAATATTTCCTTTGTTTTAAGTGGGAGAAAAAAATCCTCACCTTTCACGTTTTTTTACTTCTTGCCTGAAGGAGAAAGTAGGCATGGCGTTTTCCACAAAAACTATTCTTTGAAGTCAAAAAATGGAATCTTATGACCAAAATAATTGCTTCAAACAGTATTTGTAATATCCTTATCAAAAGGACACTTGCCTTTGGGGGAAAAAAATGATTTTGTGAAATGTTTCCAGGTAGGTAGAACATACTTCTGTACCATCAGGGATGTACAGGATTATGTAGGAATAGCCATACTGGATCATGAGAATGGTCTCACAGCCAATCTGTGGCAATGGCTTGAATATAAGAGAGGCAATACCAGACTATATTATGTGGACAGACACGTACATATATAAAGGAATACATACCGTATGGTATATGTATCACTAAAAAAAAAAATTATTCTCAAAAGTATGCATAGCCTTTCAGAACATATATGTTGTTCTTTGGATTTGTCATTACACTCTCAAATGGCACCTGTAGACAAAAAAAAAGATGGTTTCTCAGTTCCTCTCACTGCCTTAATTGGAAGGAAACAAGGTCCTTTTGGTTTATGCATCAGAGGACATGTATCTTATCAGTATAGTTAGATCTTCTTTTCAGTATTTTCCTCCCATTTTTTTCTTTTTTCCTCTGCTGAGTTGCTTCCCTGGAAAAAAACCACTGCTGTTTCCCTTTATTTTCTTGCAAAGGAGACATCAGCCTCACAGCACACTGAGTTTCCAGTGATTTGTGACAAAGATTCCTCAAAATATGACAAATTGTGAAGATAATTTAATTCCATCAAGTAATAAAAAAAGAAATTAGGTTAAAAGTATTTAGATTTTCTGTGGTAGTAGTAATTGGGTTAGTGGGAGAAAGGCTGTTCCATATTACTTATCTGTGACTTAAAGACATCAGCCATGAGCATTCTTTGCTGCTATGGACACTTATGAAAATAGATATATGATTAATTTTTACTGACATTAATCAGAAAAGAAAATACACTTACAGATAGCAATTTGTGCATTTTTGGGGTGCAATTAGGGGTGGAAAGAGCAAGGGTTACTTTTTTTGATGCCTCTCTGTTTTCCCAGATGGGAAAGTACACCCTGGACTGCCTGTTCCTCATCCTGTGGAGGGGGCATTCAAAGCCGTAGCATCTCATGTGTGGAAGAAGACATTCAGGGGCATATCAGCCCTGTGGAAGAATGGAAATGCATGTATACTCCAAAGATGCCTGTTGTCCAGGCTTGCAATATATTTGACTGCCCAAAGTGGCTTGCTCAGGAATGGTCTCCGGTAATCAATTTAGCTTTGTTGGTTTTGTATTTACCACACTAGGAACATATCTGAACTTATAGTTTAGTGAATTTGTGGAAGTAGGAATATTCACTGCTTTCTTTCCTTATTACCAACACCTCTGTTTTAAATTATGCTGTTTGTCTAACTAACTGCAAAGTAAGCACTCTGGAAAAGTGTATTAAGGTTAAGAAGAATGATGGGAAAATAAATCAGCTCTTTAATGTTAATTTGTCACCTTCTGCTAATAATAGACTGGGTATAAAAATGAAATGCACAAAAAAACCCCAGTAATTGTGTAATGGTATATCTTTATTACAACATTGAGACATAAATTGAAACTCATTAATTGCTGAGAAATTTCCAGAAATACGTAAAGCTATAAATTAGTCTGCGGTCTGACACTTGCACTTTTCTGTTCCTGATTTACCTTTCCTCCTGTATGAAAGTAAATGTCTTTGAAATGTCCGTCTAAAAAAGTAGTAAAGTACTTTGACTTTGTACATAAAGACTTATCTTGATTGTAGTTTCTCAACAAGTAAATGTGTTTAGAAGCTAAGCTAGCTCACATACAGATGAGGTGTTCTTGACTGATTGCAAAGTGTTGGCTGATTTCCACGTGGAAGCTGCTATCCAAGAGCAAAGAAATATTGGTGGTATCCATAGCCCTCCCCACTGGTTGGTAGTTTTGATCCCCTCAAGTGCAACCAATTCTGAAACAATCTGTACAGAGGGAAAAAATCGGTAAACCATAGCAAAAACAAGTGATGCTTAAGAAGGTATCTGTGAGAAGAAAGTGCAAGAGTTTTCCATTCTGGTTAGTACCTCGTTCCAAAAAACCTGAGTGTCACCATGTTAACCCGTAAGCCCCAGTACTTTGTTGAAGCAAAGCAGAGTGGCTCCAGATGAAACTGACAGGGTGTTACCGATCATGTCCAATATGGGACAGATGGCCACAAGCCACGTAGGCACCATTGCAGGAGTGGCACTGCAAGAGAAATCCAATGGCAAAATGTCCAAATCAAGTACATGTTCAGAGCAAAAAGACAAAAATTTCTGTCACTTTTATACCATGTCCATAACTACCAAATATTATGAATACTTTATGTTCAAGCTTGGGTGTTTCTGCAGCATGTTTCTTGCTCTCTGATGTACACATAGTTCTGTTGCATATTCCCCTTTCACTCCTATGATGTATCACACACACCTTTTTTTCTTTTTTAATCCAGTGCACTGTGACCTGTGGACAAGGACTCAGATACCGTGTAGTCCTTTGCCTTGATCACAGAGGAATGCATACAGGAGGCTGTAGTCCTAAAACAAAGCCACACATAAAAGAGGAATGCATTGTATCCACTCCTTGCTACAAACCCAGAGGTAATGAGACAGAAGGGTTCTCATAAATTTTTCAGAACTTTCAATTTTCAACAGTTTTGTGTTGTTGCTGGCATCACTGTTTCTATGTGCACTGAGTTATGTTTTGCACCTGTCTGTTTCTGTGCCTGCTAGCAACTTGGAGTGAGTACTGACCTATTCCTCTTTCTTAAAAGCTTTGGGCTTTTCATTGTTAATTTGTGGTTCAGCAGACCAGGCAGTATAATTTTGACCCTATTGTGAGCAGGTGTGACTTCACTGTTTGTGTCTGAGCTAAATTTGCCCTGTATTTTAAAATAAATTGAATATATAAATAATGCAAATGTAACCATAATTACAAAAGTGGCTGTTCATAACTTGGAGCTTGAAATAGGTCAGAAGCAAGCATTGTATATCTCCTCACGAGGTCCCTCTTATTAGCTAGGCTGTAAAATTTGTCAGGTTTGAAACATTTTATAACAAGGAGTATGCACAATCTGTATAAAAATATTTTTTTACTTGGGCCTCACACAGATAGTAATTTTGAGGCAAGTCCCCCGTGTTTGACAGAAGAAGAAGAAAATATTTCTGCAGTTGTTTGGAGGTTCTTATGGGATGGGAATATTATAAAGAGTCCTGGAGACGTGGTTGGATTAATGGCAGTGACTAGATGCAGCAGATGCATGTATTTGACCATTTCCATAGATATATGGGCATGCATGGGATTATGCGTGTATACAGCTCTATCATTACCACCTCTGTGCATGTATGCTGACTAATATATGGAAAATTTTGGGCTACAGTGATGTAGGTGAACTTAATTTTCCTAAATTGGAGACCTGAACTCTACCATAAGAAGAAAACAATTCCTAAAAAAAAAAAAAAAAAAAAAAAAAAATTGCTATCCTGAAACATATTAAGAGCACCTTTTATGAAGCCCTGTGAAATAAGATTGACCCATGACCTCATGCTATTCCAAGGTGGAACAGTGAAATTTGGAATTTTAATTTCTGCACTTGGTGGCTAATGATGGGCACACTTGCCAAGTTTCAAGATTCAAGTTTATCTGGACCATAAGAAGCTACTGTGTCTGCCAGCCACTGGAGTGGTGAAACCCAGACATAGGGTCTCTGGGGAGCAATGGGTATGTTTGCACTGTATTTTACTGGCCAACATGAGCTCACTCCATCCGCCTTCCAAGATGTAAAAAAAAAAAAAAAAAGGCCAAAAAAGGCCCTGTGACTGCGTTAGCATGACTCTGAGCATCATACAGAGGATCAGGGACTTTCAGCTCGTTCAGTTAGCTGCTTTATGGGGCTTTACAGATTTATGGTGTTCAGAACACAGGTAATGCAAGATCTGGTCAGCCTGCATCCTACCATCTAAGCAAAATGCAGTGAGACACAAGAAAAAATCATATGTTGGAAACCACCCACTACTGACTTCTGCATAGGGAACCTGAGAAGGGTGCAAGACTAGCTAGGAAAGCTTTGCTTGCCTGCATCTGTCAAGAAGTATCTTCCAATGGGACTTGTCTGGGAACAAAGTAAATTGCTGTTTGCTGGAAGTCCACCCTTATAAGAGCATGGCATCTTTACCCAGGGCAAACTCTGTGCTGCCCTTTGCAGCACATACATCATTAATTTATGATTGTAGGCAGTTATTTCCTTCTTCCATTTTTTCACATGGGATGGAAAGTCCCCTGCGAAGCATACTGGCTTGCCTTGGTTTAGCTTTCCACCTTATCTTTGTTCTGCAACATTCTCGCAGTTCTCCATGTGGTAATGCAAGTGGTAATGTTTGAATACCCATGTAACTGTAACGTGAAGGCTGAATAGTGCTTTCAGAAGAGTTGGACTGCATGGTATCCAGAGGTGTTTTCCAATGCAAATTATTCTGTTTCTATACTGGAGGTTTGTCCTTTTTATTTCACACATCTAGAGTTAAAAATTTAGAGCAGTAGGGATAGCAAAGTGCCTCTTGTCTATTGACCGTTTTAATAATTAGCCTGCTTTTGCCTTCTGCAGCTGTATTAAGACAAAGCAGAAAACAATCTTCCTGACTGAAGTAGCAAGGCAAAAAATATGGAAGTCTCTCTTCTTTTAACACATTGGGCTAAAAAGACATTGAAGATTAATAGTTCGTATAATTTATTTCATTTTAGTTTATTCAAACACTAAGGCACTTTATCTTGCACCAATAATGGGGAAAAACAGGATATCACTGGATTAAGTAATGATTTTCAGTTTTAATAGGGAAAGTGTGTTCATCTAATACAACTTTCTGTATAATATATGATTTAAGTGTTTTTACTGGTAGAGTTTTATGAAAAAAGAGATTTTACTTTAATCTCCAAAGGTAAAAATTCCTCCTTAGCTTATGCTAGAAGTGCTTTTTGTTCATTTTTCTGTCAAAGCATACTGTACAACATCTACATTTCTAATCCTCTAACAAATTTTACAGTGCAGATGATAATTAACTACACCTCTAAAATAAAGGAAAGTTATTTAAAAAGTCACATAACAGGCAGCGGTACACAAGAGCTTCTGCTTTTTAAAAGCACTTGCATCCAAGCAAAAAAGCACAGAAGTGAGATTTGGTTTTCCAAAACCCATAAAACAAACTGCAGAACATATAAATAGAAATATCTCCAACATAATTTAGATGACAAATGTTGTAAAATACAAATTAAACTAAGAGCTGTGCTGGCAAATATTCACCCTTAAATGACACTAATAAATATGTCAGAGTAAGAGCTTGGCATACTGTTTCTAAGATAGAGGCATAATAACTCTGTTACTGTCCCTTTTTATCTCAGTTAATAACTTGCTCCAAGGAAATTTGCATGACTAAAGTTCCAGTAGCTGTAAAGTCAAGTTGTAAGTTGTCATTCCTCTATGATACAACTGACAGGTGGAAAATTTCATGTGTACATGTGAAATGTTCATTGTTATGCACAAGAGAGTCACAGAAAATTCCTAACTATTCTGAATGACATTAACCTGCTTCTCTTGGTGAGTATAAATCCATCATTATATAAACCCAAAAGGCTCAGGTGATTTGTGAGTGACAAATAGATTTGGTCCTGCTCAGTGATGTGTCTCACTGCCTTTTGTTTGTGCTTTTCCCCTGATCCTAGCCCATGTTTTTTTGAAATGCAGATCTCCTTCTCAAATTACAGCGCCAGTTTGCTCTTGCTTTATATCCTTGTAGAGCTAAAACAGCTCCACTGCCTTCAGCTCAATTACTCCACTTTAACACTGCATGAAAGTGGAGTTTGGCTTGCAAAGCAGCATGGCCCTGCACTCCCCAGAGCAGACCAGCTCATTACATTGTGTACACATCCTGGAGGGCAAGAAAAGCAGCTCCACTGTTTTCCATCAGAAATGACAGAAAAAAGATCAGGCACGTTTTTTTTTAAATCCACATAGCTGATGAACTGATAAAGTTGAAAAGCATAGATGGGCCATTTTATTAAGGTTTTTCTGTGGCATCACTCATCCAACTAGGATTTTCTTCCTTTTTGTAATCTACCAAAACCAAGCTTAACATGTCTTCTGAAGTTCTAAAATTTAAAGGTAGACACACGGATGTTACATGTTTTGCCTTTGCAGTATAATGGAGACCTATTACACTCGTGAGACTCCCTCCAAAAAGTACTTTCCAAAGTGTCTACTTTTATGGTCCAGTAGTAAAGTCTGAAAGGTGACTTAATTTGCCTTTCTGGCTTTAGGACACCATAGCGCTTCTTCCTGTAACACTGAAATATCTGCCCATATAGCCTTGTAAGCATTATAGTCCAGCTAATGAAAGAGTTTCTTTCTTCTGCTCTCATTTCTCTCTTTCTTCTTTGTGCTCAGCCTCCATGTGTGTAAAGTCACACGTGCATCATATGCAAGGTCAGCGAGAGCAGGGAGGCTGTCACACATAGTAGTTACTGCATGCTTCCTATTTTCATGTGCTTGTGCTTGCTTCATAGAGAAACTTCCTGTGGAAGCAAAGTTGCCATGGTATAAGCAGGCTCAAGAGCTGGAGGAAGGAACAGCTGTATCTGAAGAACCATCGTAAGTCTTAAAAATTTGCTTACAGTAGATTCTCATTATGTGATCCATTATGGATGCTCCCTCCCTGGAGGTGTTCAGGGAGGCCAGGTTGGATAGGGCTTGGAGAAACCTGGTCTAGGAGTAGGTGGCATGACAAAACTATGGCAGGGGAGTTTAAACTAGAGGTTCTCTAAGGTCCCTTTCAACCCAAAGCATTCTCTGATTCTGTGATGATTCTCTATGGAAATCTGGGGCTTGTGCAGAACTAACACAGTCTCTTGATGTTTTTGGTTTTCATTAGAGTGTAAAGGCCAAACCCAACCCCATGGAAATCAATGGTATTAAGGCTGTATCACACTTTGAAGAGACAGATGTCAAGAGGTGAATGCAGATTCAATTTAAACAAATATATACGTGTTTTATTTAAGGTCATTTACAAGAATACTGTAGTAAGAGTCTGTCTACCTAAGTAGTTATGTGTTATCCATTACCACTGTGTCTTCACAACCTTTCTGTATTTTCTCAATCACCCCATGAAGTAAGAGGTAAAACAAGGCAGCTATTGATGATTACCTCTTGCCTCTTTGTCCTGGTTAGAACGGCTGGGACCAATTCATCACTGGATGGGTGTAACCCAAAACTGTGTATTCTATAGCCTTCCATGCCATTTCCCAGAAACTGTTGTCAGTAGAGGCCTGTGAGGTGGGAAGATGTTCCTGTCCTCATACCCTTTTATGGAATTCCCCTCTCTGAGGGAGGGACTGACCACTCCTCATGCCCTTTTATGGAATTCCCTACTCTGAGGGAGGGACTGAGCACTCCCGCCTGAACTGGAGAATATATAAACTGGGAGTTTCGGAACCTTTCCACCACTCGTGGGATCCAGAGGAAGACTGCAGACCACCGCTCTCAACCAGACTGAGACCACCACCCTCAACTGGACTGCAATCACCACTTTTGACCAGACTGCGACAGCTCTCCCACCAGCAGGTTTTTTCCCTCTCCCTTTACTTTGGACTGGTGGGGGGGGGGGGGCAAGGAACACCACTTTTGTTCATGCCCCAGGGTGCTGGGTTATACATTTGGGTTTTGCGGGTTAAAACCACTTGTCTGTCTGAATAATTGTACTTATTGTATTATTTTAATAAATTGTTATTCTGACTTATAATCTCTCTTTTGAGTTGAGTTCATTTCCCCTGCTGGTTAACTTTTAAACTGGCACATTTTTGGCGCCCAACTCGGGGCAGAGAGAGAGAAGTCAGAATCCCAATTTCATTTTAAGCATCTGTCTATTTGGATATAGAAACTCCCTGATCACCATGTTGTTTGGTGCATTCACGTGGATGTTGTATCTGAGCATGTTCATAATTCCACAGATGGGGAACTATTTGCCTGTTTTAATGCTCTCTTTAAGACCAGGGAGAGGGATCCAAATTGCTTTATTAGTATACTATGTTTATGTCATCATAACATCAGAAGCAATGAGTTTCATTGTAAATGTGTATTCAGTCCTGTTTGCCTGTCCTGGTTTAGGTTGCTACCTCTGGGGCCTCATTAAAAATCGCACCCAGCCCTTTGGGGGAACAGGAGGAAATGGTTGTTTCTAGCCTCTCCCCTCCTTCTTCCCCTTCAGACCTGCTACAACAGTTTTTGAAAATATTGAGTTCCCTTTTGATGTTAAGGACAGCATAATGTTATTGTTGGTGTTGCTCTGTCTGCTCTGTACTGTCTACACCATGTTTAGAGTCAGAACAGGGCCTTCTAGGGAGGTTGTTTGGACGCCTGTCCTGGGAGTGGATAATGCTGAGTGGCACGGGAAGTGGGAGGACATCGGCCAGTATTTGGAGAAGTTTTCTCCTCCAATGATCTGGAAATTCACCCCTGAACAACTGCAGGATCCTGTTAGCATGATAAGACTGGTAAAGGAAAAATGCTCTGGCAGCTCCAGAGATGACCAGCTCACAGCAACCTGCTGGGCCCTGGCCACTGCCTACCGGGCACTGCTTGACATGGTACAGCACTGCCAGGGAGAGGAGAGAAGGAGCAAATCCACAGGCACCATGTCTACCCAAACCACAGCTGAGTCGGAGGGAGAAAGAAATAAATCAACCGGCAACATGTCCACACAAACCACCGAGGAGCCAGAAGGACAACCGAAACCAATAGCAGTCGCCCCTGTCCAGAAAAGGAAATCAAAGACTAAATCAGTCCGTATAGCAAATGATGACGAAGAGACAGGACCTTCATATCCACCGGAGGAGACAGAGCCACAAATAATCACTTGGTCCCTATCCCTGGGTGAGCTACGTGAGCTCCGGAGAGAGTTCGCACGACAGGCAAACGAGTCCATCCTGACCTGGCTGCTCCAAATCTGGGATGCCGCAGCTAACGATACAATTCTAGATGGGAGTGAAGCAAGACAACTGGGATCCCTGTCTCGAGATGTAGTCATTGATCAGGGGATTGGAAGGAGGCAGGAAATTCTCAGCCTCTGGTGGTGACTGTTGTCCAGTGTGAAGGAGAGATACCTTTGCAAGGAGGACCTCCACGTACAGCAAGGACAGTGGAACACGATGGAACAAGGTATCCGGTGCTTGAGAGAATTAGCTGTACTGGAGATAATTTTTTCAGAGGACGAAAGATTCCCTAAAAGTCCAGATGGTGTACGGTGCACATCCCAGATGTGGTTGAAGTTTGCACGACTCGGGTCAGAAATGTATTCCCGCTACTTAGCAATGCTGCAATGGAGGGAGGGAGAGGACAAGGTGGGTGTGTTGGTCAGCAAACTCAGGATTTATGAAGACACTGTCACCGCCCCATTACGAGCCCACGTCTCATCTGTGGAAACCAAACTGGCTGAACATGTCCGAAGCCTAGCAAGTTGACTACATCACGCTCCCCAAAACCCGCCAAGGCAAGCGCTACGTACTGACCATGGTAGAAGGAAGTACTGGATGGCTGGAGACATACCCCGTGCCTCATGCCACTGCCCGGAATACCATCCTGGGCCTTGAAAAACAAATCCTGTGGCAACACGGCACCCCGGAGAGAATTGAGTCTGATAATAGGACCCATTTCAAGAATTAATCACAACCAATTCAGCCACTTGAAGACTAGAGGGAATAGTTATGTTTGTGTTGTCTGACCTCCTGCACCCCTAGATGGGATCAATTAATTGCTGACAGAACTACTATGAAATACTCTATCTTGGTAAGAAAGTATTGTAATGTATGTCATGACAAAAGTTTAAGGTGAGAAGGCCTTGCTGTCCTGTGTTGTTGTACATGTTTTCCTCCTGTTGCTGTCTGTCTCTGAAGTGACCATTCAGCAGGCCTTGGATCAATGGTGGAGGGTCTCTTTAAAGATTTCTGCCTCTAACACTTGAAAAATGCTTTTGTATATTAACACCATATCCAGCTTTTAACATACTGCCATAAATAACCCTTGTGCTGGCCATTAAAAAAAAGGAGGAGGGGGAGGACAAGGTAGAGGGCAAACAATAGTGTCTGGATGCCAGATGGCACCATCATAGTGATGGGGCCAGTTCAGTGAAAAAAAGAGAAATTCCTGGCATGCATCTGTGGGGGTGAAAAAGCCCTCAGGGAACTAGATATGGACAGAGAGGGCAGTGTGGCAGAGACACCCAATATCTCTTTTTAACTTTCCAATAGGTATTTATGTTTCCAAAGACACATAAGCTATTTTATTTTGATTTTCTTTGTTGAACAGTTTCCATCATGATCTTTGTACCTGATTCACAGGTCATAAGTTCAAAACTTCCTACTAAGGCTTCACTTTAAAGCATGATTGTTGGATTACCAAAAAAAAGGTAGTGAGAACATAAAGCTTTAACAACTGCTAGGCTTGTCCATTTCAGAGTCATGCAATGAAGTGGAAGAAGAAAGTTTAGGGAAACTTCTTCATATTAAGATCTAATGGCAAAACATTAAACTGTATATATGGTGGGTCAAAGGGAAGATCAGCAATGCAGCAGCCTCACATTAGGTAATGCTTTCAATCTACTCATTCAAGGACCCATAGATACAGTCACAACTACTTAGGATTTATGTGTAATAAATATACAGGACAGAAGCAGTTATCTTCCCTGAGCAGAAAAGCAGAGTGAATGAAGGGGACCAACAGCACAGAATAATTAGACACTGAAGGAAAAGATCATATTCAAACTAAACTTAAGAGAAACTGTAGAGAACACAATGTAGTCACTCTGATTGGAATTGGACCTATGCAGCTGGCTCCAGTGCCGTTACTCTTACACAGCCCTGAGATTTTGTTGATAAATGGTCATGACCTCCATTTCGCTTCTAACAATGGCACCAGCAGGTATCCATTGCTGTGTAAGAGCATCCTGTGGTGTTACCTACATCTTAAAATCTGTGGAATGGTGGCCTCTCCTGGAAGAAAAGGACAGGTTTGCACTTCAGCTCAGGATAAGGAGACTGAAAGTCTGAGCTCGGTTCCTGGTTCTATCCCAGAAAGTTCTGAAGCCTTTGAAGAAGGCACTAAACATTTTATTTCACCATTAATATCTGATTTTAGACACCTTAACAGATGAGTGTCTGTGCCCTGGAACACTCAGTCTTACTGGTTTGTGAATCTCTCAAAACCTCAGACTTTATCTAAACCATGGATTTACCCAAAGATGAATTAAAAAAAAAAAAAAAAGACAAGATGAAAAAAAAAAGCGAAGCAAAAAACCATTAAACAACAAAAATTATGGCAATATGTAATTATGTAGCAGTGAAGAAAATAAGCTATTTTTCACCATAGGTCAAACCACATCAGTCTGCAGACACTTCTTTTTCTTCATAACACACATTGTAGGAACATATGTTGCTCTACTGAGGGGAATATACACCAGTCCTTAGCTGTGCCTAGAATTTGAAGGAAAAAATATCATTGTCTTGAGACTATGTACTGCCATTCTGATTGCTGTTCTCAGCTTAAATGTTGACATTACTTTTGCTGATTCTGTATACAAGTGATAATTGCATAGCACATTTTAGTCTGCAAAATCTGGATTTTTAAATAAATACTGTAAAATGAATTCCTATTATATAATCTAGAGGGTTTTTTTTAAACTAGACACACTGTTATCTGAAAGGGGCATTCATGTGAACATGAATAATAATTTATAAAAGTGTGAATAGTCCTTGCAAAATTGAGCTGGGCAAGCAGTATCTACCCAATGTTCTTGTGGGGATGAAATTCTGTAGACAACTTTTATTCATTTATGCTTGCAGGTCTGTTGGATGTGCAGCCTGCAGGCTGGACTATTATGTGTTTCACAGTTTCCATATTTTGTATTGAATGCTTTACATACAAACGTAGTAAGTTGGTTTTGCTATCATATTAAAATTTCCTTAAAACATACAGTGATTGTAGCATACTAGAAAAGCAATGAGCCAAAACCAGCTCAACACCTGCAGAAGTCCATTGATATCAGTGTCATTACATTTCCTTTCTTTGTATTTCTAGAACACATAATGCAGCCCATCAGAGGCTAATGTGCATATGACAAATGGTGCCACAGTCCCTTCAGTTGAACACAATCTTGTATAGATTCTGGAACCTGAACAGCTAACAAGAAGCCACTGAAATATATAGAATGCCTCTTTTAAATCCAGAACTCACTATTTTTCAAGGGGGTTCCTATCATGGGAATAGGTTGCTGGTCCATCACTGTAGAATGCCCACAGGCCAAAGAAACAAGTACAGGCATTTGTGTACAAGCAACACCAATTTTTCCCACCCAGTTTTCTTTGGAGAGTTTTCCACCTTCTATTCCAACTCTCTACCTTCTCCAGGTGAGAGCACTGCCACCCGTGGAGATGCCCATGTAGGCAGGGGGTGACAGGCAGAGAGGCCATTCAGCCATTCCACGTCTGGGTGCTGTAATGTAGCCAGTATTCCAGCAGTTGAGTAGCAGCAGACATGGTCAAGTCAGTCATAACCAAGCAAGGTCATGATTTTCCCTCCTCTCAGCTTTCACTCCTCTACCTCACACTGATCTCTCTAAAACAGGAGCAACAGATTCCTCTTTAAAATATTCATGAGAGCTCTCAGAACACACTTGCTTCTGTATTTTCTCCTTATGGGAGAAGCATGTTGCCATTTCTGCTCTGAGTAATAAAAGAAGATGATCTTTGATTCAATGGCAACACTGTGATGTATGGTAAGAGATAGGAAATACTCAATATAATCTCTGAGGAAAGAGGCACCTTTTTATTTTTCGTTTGTACAGCTGTTAACACAATTGGATTCTGCCTGACAACTAACTACTACTGTCACATTACTACAACAAGTTATTGCTTTTGTCCAATTTACTAGGGATATTATTATAGGGGCGATTATTACAGTGGGATTTAATTAAACAATACGTAATGACAAATGAAACACCTCCATCATTTCCTGTTTTCTAAAAAACTACTTCTCATTAAATTTGTTCCACTACTTCCATTTTCCAAGTAGGGGTTAGCATACAGAAATGCACAGTGCTGTGCAGTGGATGATGAGCTATATGTGGAACAAATAACTCTAAATCCATGGAACTGTCCCCTTCTTATTCACATACTTTTTGTGGTTTGTGTTCATCATTTGGCAATGTTTATCACTAATGACAACACAAAGATATTTGAAAGCTTTTGTAATTTCCTGGGTTTAGGATGATGGAAAATTCAGAAACATTGTATTTTATATTATTCATTTGCATTACATAAATATTCCTTTCCTAATGACAAGTACTATATGGAGATTTTTTTTGTGGGATTTTCTTGAGTTTCCCTTCTTTTTTTCTGCTTTTAACTCTCTTGATTTTAACAATTCTGTCTTTAACAGACAACAGTTATATTAGAATTAAATTATGTTTCTGAAATTATCACTTGAAATGTAGAAATTGAGCCTAGATAGCTGAATAAAGTATTTCCTGAAGGTGTTCATGTTTTCGTTGTGAGTTGCTGACTAGGATGAAATAGTACAATGTGTGACACTTATAGATCAAGCCTCATTTCAACAAGGATCCAGGCTACTTTTAGCAATGTTCTTACTTTCCTTTTGTGTCCTCTCCTTTTTGTTCCTTTGTTTCTATATGTGATATGCATCATGTGTAAATATTCTGAGTATTTGAGGTATGTCTGTTTTTCTAAACGAGTAATTTTAATACCTTGCAAAGTATCCTCCCTCTTGGTTTGGAATACAGCAGGTCTTCAACAAAGCACAGTTAGACAAAAATTCACAATGTTCAAAAATATAAGGAAGACAGCTTCTGATGAAGACTGATGAAAACCAGGGGCTTTTTTTTTTTTTTTGTATCCTGATTAGGATTTCTACCTCAGGTTGAGAAGCTATGTATTTTAACTAGTCAAAATATCTGTCACAGTGGCTGGCATGAGCCATTTAATCTCTGACAGAAGATTTTCCACATCAGAGAGCAGTTGCACAGTTTTAGGGAAAACAAGATGAGTGGCCCACCTACACTGTTGAAGAGTATAATCCTTTCAAAATCCTTTCTTGTTTCATCTTTGAAACAAGACTGAAAATGTCTCAAGAGGAGAAAACTGGAATCACTTTGCGTCATTAGTTTCTCAAAGGCTTTGCTTGTGAAAAAAATTTTGCAGTCTTTGTAGCAGCATGATAAATAATTTTAAAAGTTACAATAATATCTACAGTTTATTTCTTTCCTTTCTATTGCTTCCTGTGTATAGTTCTAGCAGTGAATGTCAGGGTTGTAACAAGGTGTTATAAAGACACACAAAAAGTGGGTAAAGAGATAGATGCACACTCTCTGCTCAAGCAGACTGTGCTGTTCCAGTCAGGGATCCTGGTATATATTCCTGCTGGGAAAGCACCAAGTACCTTTTTAGGTTTGGGATTTTTTTTTAACTTCAGAGGGAAGGGTAAGTCCTTTTGTCAATTATCGAAAGGCAGTGAATGAAAAAGAGAAGTGTGTAAAATTACTTCCAAAGATGCTGATCACAAAACTAAATTTCCTTTTTCTTCCTGTCAAGCTGTTTGTGGGATCCCAAGGTGAGAAATGAGTTTCCTATGGCCACAAGTAGCCCAGATCATAGAAGATACAGATGTGTATTGCCTTCAGTCGTAGGCAAACCTGTCGAAGTCTGGTGTGGTTTGCTGAAATAAAGCCCAAAGGGAGAGGAATACTGTCAGTGATAGCAAGGTTTCAATTGAAAATACATCCCCTGTGATTTATTTGATAAATTTAGTTAATGCGTATGTTTTCTGTCAGACAGTAGACCCTAGCACAAAAAGCTTTTGGTTCATTAGATTAGCACTTAAAAAATATCAGTGAAGAAAACAACTTACTGAATTTGCAGGAGCTAGCACTTAACTGCTAAAGGGAAAGCATTATCAACAGGGATTGTTCCTGTAAGGTTTGGTGAGAATCAGTGCCAGATTCAACTATTCGCTTTTCTATTCTAGCCCTTAAAGTGTGACTACAACCACTGTCTTAGAATTTGCCCATGTCAGAAAGTTTGGAAGAATGGCCAATGGAGAAGGCAAGACAGTCAGATAAAGCTATCTGAATTACCCTGTATTCATTATTTTAGTGCTCTGATACCACTAACATCAAGTATCTAAGAATACATGCAGATTGTGGAGTGCCCAGAAACTACATTTTCCAGATAGATTTAGGAATCAGCAGAGTTCAACATGAGCTTAGCAAAACACAGCATATTGCATTACTGCAACAAGGTAGTAATGATGTGATATAGAGTTGAATGTGAATCTCATGTTTGATGTAACTTTGAGTAAAATGCTAGGTCAGTTTTCAGCACTGACATTGAAAAAGCAGTGACAACACAGAAAAATTAAGGAATTATTCCATGATTAAAGAAAACAACAAAAAATGGAATTCAGTCTGTTTGTTTATTGTAATGACAGCTGCAAGGTGATTATACTAAACTATGTAGAGACTTTCAGAGGCAAAACTTTGGAGCATGTAAGGGTTACTAATCAGTGAGACAAGCCAAAGAAATCCACAATAGGAGTGGAATGAGAGGAAAATTAAATGTCCTAGGGAAATAAAACAGACAAACAAACAAAAAACAGCTAAAGAATTTATGAATTCTTTACCTTTTACTAGCTTCAAATTAAGACTTCAAAAGAGTTACTGTGATACAGGAACAATAATTGAAATTATTTTCCATGTAATACCACTATTACCTGACAACAGCAGCCTGTTCAGTACTTACTAGTGAAAAAAATATGATAACAACTAAAGATGATCTAGGTTGAATACTTGCAGAAGGTAGCTAGTTGGATCATGATGCACCTTGGGAGATTGCTGGATGCCTTGCACTGAGATGTTTTAGGATCAAAACAGGTGCTCAAAGGGTTTGTCTTTCTTAGGTATAAGGAGACCTGCCACCGAGTTGTCAACAGCATGTCATAGCTTCTATGTGTATTTTATAATATCCCTATGATGCAGTGAAGCGTTTTTTTCCTCATTAAACAAAATTTCGCCTGGACAGAGCTATACTGCGTTTGGTTCCCTGGCTGTATGTGGACATAACTTGCCTTGCTCTCTTCCTCTCACAGGTTTATTCCTGAGGCTTGGTCCACCTGTAGTGTCACCTGTGGAGTAGGCAGCCAGGTGCGGCTTGTGAAATGTCAAGTGCTCCTCTTTTTCTCTCAGTCTGTGGCTGACTTGCCCATCGATGAATGCGAAGGTCCCAAACCTGTGTCTCAGAGAGCCTGTTACAGTGGTCCCTGCAGTAGGGAGGCAATTGAATACACCCCGGAGGAAACTGAGTTTCTGTATGGGAGCTTGCAGGAGTTTGATGAGCTCTATGACTGGGAATATGAAGGCTTTACAGAGTGTTCAGAGTCCTGTGGAGGAGGTAGGTGCAAAATGTTTCTATGCTGGATTTGCTTTCCCACTTCAAGTGTGTGCTTTGCAATTAATACCCACGGATATGGTGCTTTGCTATGGCTATTTAGAATCATAGAATCATCAAGGTTGGAAAAAAGACTTTAGGATCATCAAGTTCAACCATATTTGAAAAGGCATGGATAAAAACTGTAAAAACGCACAACATATTTTAGCCCAGGACTTTTGGGCCCTATGCTCAGACTGACACCAAGAATGGTCAATGTTTCCTTTATCAGCTGATCTCTCAAAAGGCACTCACCCAAAAAAGCTGAATGTTAAAGGGGTCTGGTGATACAGGCTAACAATCACGTCGTTTTTGTTTTTTATCTCTTGAGTTCTTCTGTGCGAGTACAAACATATGGAAATAAATTGTCCTCCTACAGCAGATGAAAGAAATTATTGATATTTTAAGGGCTCAGCTGTCCCCTACTCCTATCACTAAGTGACATCAATTCAAATCACAGTGCAAAAGAAAACATGGCAAAAAAGGCACTAATGGTATGATAGTCTGAAACTAGCAGGCTTGACACTTGGAGTTTCTCAAAATCAATCAAGGTCTCAGGTTCCACGTTATAGACTATATTAACACACGCTTATCTGATATCCTTTTTTTCCCATGATTTTATCTCTCTAATTCTGAGAAATATGTTCACTCCACTATTTTTTTAAGTTTAACCTAAATTTTTCCATTTGCTGTCTTTTTACATTACAAGTTTTGGGCTATTTAAAAAAGGTTTACTATACATAAATACGGAATATATACTGTAGAACTGAAAACAAGTCAGTGTTTTATTAGTGGCTAATAGCGTGATCTGTACAGATTCACTGGGAATCAGTTACAATCTTGAAAAACACAATTAGTAGAAAATATTGCAAAGGTTTTCTATGCTTACTTTTAGTTTGCTAATGGTAGTCAATGTTTACAGCAGTTCACAGAGAGCTGTCAGACCATTGACACTTTTGCTTTGTTTCTTACACAAAAAATATGTATACTAGGTGGTGACGAACACTGATTTTACAGGAGTATATGTTATATATTGAAATTACTAGTGAGAAGTAACAATTTATCACACTTTTACCATGACTATCCAAACCTGAAGAGTTCCTAGAAATATCCTCTTTACATGAAGTAATTTCTTTGAATAGAGAGATTGTGTATGTATTTTTCAAATGTAACTCACAGATACTGATTCTAGAGAGACATTTTTTTTAATAAATTTAATCTCTTCCAATTGTCAACAAAAATTTTCATCCAAGATTTCTTTTTGTCTGACATCAATTCCAAACTTTCCAGATTAACAGATGTTAAGTCAGGTATTTTTGTAGCCATAGGTACAAAACTGGTCAAATTAATTGTATTGCTTTTGGAGTCAGGGAGATGAAATAGCATAGGTGCAGAACTAACCTTTCACCTCCCAGAAGCAAACCGAGGGAATGAGTTAGTCATTTAGTCTGCTGTTAGTGGCTTCGTTTCCTAGAGCTGTCATCAAATATCATGTAACAGTTATTCTATTCTAGTAGATATACACATAGAAATTCTCATTTGAGTATCTTGAAAGAGAAACTGCCTAGATCACACACTTTTATACTGTGATTTCCTATTGACAACTGATTTCTTTTTTTCAGGGAAAACAATTTTAAAGGGACAGCTTTTTGTTCTGATAATATTGTGCAGTAAATAATGTCTCAAATTCAGTTACTTGGCAAATAAAAATCCTGAAGTTCATATACCTTTTTAAATATCTCTATGGAGATAATACTGTGGAACTTCTAATGTATAATCAAAGGTTTTTATATTCTCTCAATGTTTAATGACCCATCCCTGATTTAAAGCTTATAACCATTTGCTACATCGACCTGTTCAAATAGAGGGACAGTTGTTATCAATATGCTGAGACACGCTCAGTGTGAGATTCAAGAGAAAGCTGAAGAAAGTGATTCTGAGCAGATTTTTTGCTACTGGAGTAAACCAGATTTATTTTTCTTTCACCCCAGTTCCTGGCACAAGCTGTTTGAGCCAAAAACTGTCGATACATAGTCTAGCCACCACATTCACACAAGAACCTTTTTCTTCACGCCTCTGCTGTCAGGCAAGTTTACTGGTCCTACCAGTACCTTTCAAAGGTAAAAGGAAATTTTAAGGAGCGGGATAGAATGCTTGTAGTATAGACAAAAATTGTTGGAATTACAATCAGAGATTACTTAAATGACAGATATAAGCATGGGGAATGAACTTACTGGGAGGTTTAGGGTTGGTTGAATACTGCGAAGTGAAGAGCAGTAGTATCAGAGTTTGGCCATATGAATTTGATAAAACAAAACCATCAGCCTAAGAAAGAGAGAAAATGTTGAATTCAATCACATTCAGTCACTTTTCAGTAGTCAGCATTGAAACAGACAATGGAAAATTGTTAAGGTAATTGATAATAATTTATCAAGATCTTGCTAGTGACGTGCTTCAGGGAGGAGAAATTGAAGCTGTGGAACTATACTCAGTTAACAAAATTTTGGTGTGAGAAGAAAATACAGAAGGTGAGTGAACTGTATACCTAGCAAACAGAATAATGTTACTGGCATGTGTCAGGACTGGGTGGTTTCTTTCCACAGAAATTAGAAAAACACTTTCATGGTTTCTATACCTCTGGATCAGCAGTCCTTCTCTTCTGGTTTCATCAGATTAGTCTTGCTGTCAGGCCTGCACAAATATTCCATGCAAAATAGAGACCAGTAATTTGGACACGGTGCTGTTTCCCATCAGGTAGAGAATCACCTCTGTTCTTACAGCCAGGACAAGTCCATTATGGAGAATCCATATGTCTCTGTTTGCACAATATTATAACATACTTACAGAAAAATGATTGAGCTGGAAAGATAATGAACATGACAGGATAGCGAACATCTTGTTCATATATAAATTTCATTTATATATTTTCCTACAAATAAATCACTACCATTTGCTGTGTTCTTTTAATAGCTTATCCTTTTTACAATTTTTCTCAAGTCTTTTGGGTGATGACTGGAATAGCAAAAAGGCTTGAAAATATGGGGTAACCTTGTAAGGAAGGAAACTCACGACAGTATTGGTTGACTACAGGGACTCTGGTAATTTTGATGTTGATGTCCATATCCAAAATATCAAATTTCTTTCTTTTCTTTAGTACCTCAGATGCAGTGGAGACACTGCCTAGCCTTTGTCAGAGGCATGAGCTGAATAGGTTTACACACACAGGAGCCAAAAAAATTGGTTGACGTGCCACTTTTCTGTGGGCCTCAGCCTGTACTGAGATTAAAGGGAGTGAATCCATGAGTAATTTCAGAAGCGTAGGAACTATGATCAGCTGCAGCACTTTGGTTCTGTTGAATAATATGATATCTTTGTTTGCCTAATGACGTGTGCTGGCATTAGAAACAGCAGAAGGTATTGTCAGCTCTATGACACTGCTCTTGGAGCTGTTCAAGCTCTTACAGCACTCTTTTTTTGTGTCTTAAAAAAATTATGAGATGTTTTGGAAAACTAGTTGTTGGGTTTGAAAAGATAAAGTAATTGTTATGAGTTCAGCTAATATTTTCCCAACTCAGAAAGCAGGAATGAATGTAAAAAGCATACCTTCACTTTGTTTGAACCCCTCTGGATTAGACCCCCCCCAGGTCCCACTTTCCCCAGGGGAATTAGATCCTCTCTCACCAAGACCTCTTCCCTATGGCATGTTATGTTTCAATCCCTGATTTTCTAGCTTTCTAACCTTGTGATTAAAAAAAACCCTGAAATATTCCTACTCATAGGAAAAGTGAAACAGAGTAACTAGTATGCCAAAGAGTACATAAGGAATTTGGAATTATCAAGGAATTCCTGAGTTAAAATATAATCACCAAATCTTCCAATTTCTCTTAGTCCCAACAGCTACCTTTGTTCTTTCCTAGCTCTCAGATACATCCTGCAGGTTTGCATCTTTAGGTTTAGGTGCAGGTCCATGGATGAAGAAAAATAACTGAGAACTGCTGAATTGTCTGGCCATGTTTTACTTTACTTTTGCACTTAAAGCAATCATACTGTTGCCTAAAATATAGCATAGTGAAGCCAAGGCCATCTTCACACATTAGCCTACTTGTACTGACAAATAAAGTGCCTCATTGCACTCTTGGGTCACTAGAGAGCACCAGACAATTTTCTGTCCAGAGAAGGTAAGTGGTGAATGAACTCGTGGAATTTTCAGTGCGATTGAGAAACCTTTCAGAGACACTGAAAGCAGTATCAAGTCTACAGCTGGGGCTGCAGCCCGAGACCTGCCAACACTGGGTGTGAGGATCAGTTTCCCCACACACTGCAGCCCTGCTGGCCCTATTGGACCGACCTCTGTACTTGGCTTCCCCTGCAGGTGTGGAGAGCTGGCTGTGACCATGCTTTGTTGTGTGCAGGTATCCAGGAGGCTGTGGTGACCTGTCTGAACAAACAAACCAGGGAGACTGCAGATGAGACACTGTGTGTAACCAGCCACCGTCCTCCACAGCTGCTAAAAGCCTGCAATGTGGACCCCTGCCCCCCAAGGTAGGCTTCTTATGTGGTATCACCAGGCACATGGTTTTTTTTCCAGATTTAAGAGAGATGTGATCCTTGATGAAATTGAGAAACCGATCTTTAAGTTCCCCATGAATCTGAGACCTCTGGGGACAGGGATGCTTAGATCTGGGCTTTACTGAAGTGACTCCTGAAGTACAGGAGTAAAACATGCAGACAAGAGCCTGAGATGGCTCCCCAGGTTGCAGTACCACAGACTCTCTGGGCTCAGCAGATCCGTGTTGCTGCCCTGGGGCTTCTCTTCGCTGACATGAAGTGAGTGGAGCTGATATGAGTGAGTGAAACTCTGCTGCTTGTATGATGTAGCAGATCTATGCAGGCATGTCACTGTTGTTATCACAGGTGATGATACCAGGGCCAGGGTTCCTTGGTCGGGACATCACTTAATGGATTTTGAGGAATCCATGGCAAAAGCAAAATAAATACACGTGTGGGAGTATAGTCTAGTATGTTGCCCAGAGCCTTTTAAATAACATTAACAGTACAAAAAAAAGGAATTTTAAGTTATGCCCCCACACTCTATGGTCTTTCAATCTGGAGGCACACAGTGTCTCAAGCATGCTCTTTCTTAGACTGCAGGGTGCTTACAGTCATATTGACCAGGAAGTGCAAAGCAGCAGTAACTTCAAACTTCAGACTGCTTGCCTATACAGGTTCTTCAAGCAGACAGTTTGTGGATTGGCCTAATACCCAGAGTTTTGTCAAGTTTAAGGAGACTTTTCCAACCTCCTCTCTCAGAACAGATTTTGCAGAACTGGTTCCTACCTAGCCTCAGGCAGCTACCACAATTATGACCCTAAAAACACCGGATCTTTGTTTGCAGAAATTCATCCTCTACAATAGAGAATAGGTGTCATGAGGTTCTTGAGGTTTGTTTAAATGGGGCCTGTCAAGTCTTCAAGATGTATTGTATACATGTTGTCTTTTTCCCCAGCTGTACACAGATGTGTTTACACTCTTGTAGTACTGCAGCACATTTGAAATACATTGGTTTATAATTTTGGACTATTTAAAACACTCAGGTATCCAGGTGGTAGATATTGTTTGGAGTGTATACGAGTAGGTGTATGTATGCTTTATAATACATTAGGCTACACAGAGGTATGTCTTTATGAACAATAGTGGATTTTTGGTAGGCAAAAAAGGTTCACATTAAAAATCAAAGACGGCATCAAATACATCCAGAACAAAAGAAGAACAAGGTCAGAAATAAGTTTGGTTGGATGATCAGGATTTTGAGTCTGTGACAAGCAGAGCCAAATAGGCTGACACTTTTCACCAAAGCATTACACAAATTGCTTATGAGGATATTGCAACACCGACTTTGTTAAATTGTCTTTATTGCTGGAAATAACACACAAATATTATATAAATGTTTGAAAATAACTTTGTAGGTGGAACTCTTGTGGTAATGGATAGGTAGCAGCGTCACTGGAGCTGAGAGTGAATAGTAGAAGATTGATCAGCCAATGATTCTGACATTGAAAATAAATACTCAGTGGTTAAGAAAAAATGAAACACACTTATGTAGTATTTATGTGAATTACTGTCTCAGTTTAAGGAGACTGAAGTGTTTTGCTAAAGAGGATGAGTTATGAGGTAGACCAAAATCCTCTCTCTCAGCAATTGTAAATCCGAAATTAAAAGGCTCCAATCGAGGAAGTATGGAAAAAGGAAGAAATAACAACCCTTTATTAAAGAATGTATGTATATTGGCAAAAGCACATGATGTCTGTGGCTAGCTGTGGTTGGGACTCCCCCCTTTCCTCACCAAGCACAAACTTTCTGATGGAATCTGAGCAGGTCTGGCTGGGGACAGAGCAGACCGTAGGCAAGCCGAAGAGGAGAACAGCCAGACGACCAGGTTGAGAGCAAAACGGCCTCAGAGCTTTTCCAGCACATACATTGCCCCTGTTAAGGCAAAAAGTGAAATACTACTTTCCAACGAGAGGAGGGGAGAAAAACTCCTCCCCCCCCCAGTCCCTCCTACATACACCCTAGCCTTACAGAGGGCCATCAGGCTGGAATATAGTTCTGCCAGCCAGCTCCTTTGTGTAGGTCAATCACCCAAGGCAAAAAAACTGTCCTCCACATTCAACATCCCTCTCTCATATTGCAGCAGGGGAAAGAAAATTCCTGTTTGTTTTTTTAGAACAAGTAAACCCATGACAATTACTTATACAAGTAATCTGAGTGTGTGAATCCTTCTTGAATTCATCTGTGTGGTAATTCATAGCACTGTGGAAACCTGCCTACCAGAGTGGAGCTAATTTAAAGCAACCCTGGGCATGTATTTCACTCCATGGATTACAAGATGATCATAGTGTAGGTGAGAATCAGCCTGTGAAGCAGAGGTGAAAGAAGATTGATGCAGGTGGGGAAGACTAAGAATCTTAGTTGAAAGTTCGCTAAGAACATCCCTAGGGCTGCAATTGAAAAAAAAGGAAATGACTCCCTTCCCTGTATGACTTGGAAGAGACCTCAAAAATCATCTGGCTCCAACCCCCCCTGCCATGGGCAGGGACACCTTTCACTAGACCAGGCTGCTATGAGCCCCATCCAACCTGGCCTTGAACTCTTCCAGGGATGGGGCATCCACAACTTCTCTGGGCAACATGTTCCCGTGCCTCACCACCCTCACAGTAAAGAATTTCTTCTTAATATCTAATCTAAATCTACCTTCCTTCAGTTTGAAGCCATTCCCCCTGGTCCTGTCACTATATGTCCTGGTAAAAAGTCACACTGTTTTTCTTGTTGGCTCCTTTCAGATACTGGAAGGCTGCAATTAGGTCACCCTGAAGCCTTCTCTTTTCCAGGTTGAACAATCCCAATTCTCTCAGCCTTTCCTCATAGCAGAGGTGCTCTGTCCCTCTAATCAGCTTGGTGGCTTCCTCTGGACTCGCTCCAACAGGTCGATGTCCTTCCTGTGCTGGAGACCCCAGAGCTGGATACAGCACTGCAGGTGAGGTCTCACCAGACCAGAGCAGAGGGGCAGAATTACCTCCATCAACTCACTGACCACACTGCTTTTGATGCAGCCCAGGATGCAATTGGCTTTCTGGGCTGGGAGCTCACATTGCTGGCTCAAGTCCAGCCTCTCATTCACCAGCACCCCCAAGTCCTTTTCAGCAGGGCTGGTCTAGATCTGTTCATCCTCCAGCCTGTATTGATAGCAGGGTTTGCCCTGACCCAGGTACAGCACCTTGCACTTGGTCTTGTTAAACCACATGAGATTCTCATGGGCCCACTTCTTGATCTTTTCCAGTTCCCTTTGGATGGCATCCCATCCATTAATATAAATATAAAATATGAATATAAAATTCAGTGTAAAATACTGGATCTGGATATGCCCCTAGAACAAAAAACTGTTAAACACTGCCTTCTTAACAGTATGTTTGTCTCAGTTTGAGACAATTTGGAGGGGCGGAGATCTTAGACAGAAGTCTCCTCCCTCAAATTCAATACCCCTGGTTTCTCCAATACGGAGAGAGAGAACAAATACACCCCAATGTAAGTGAAAAAGTAACTCGTTACCAAGAAGAAGTGCCAATAACAATACTGATAGAACTGTGTTAAATCAACTGATAAGGTGAGACTTCCCAAGCCCGGCTCACCAGACCAAACTGAGATGGTGGCTGCTCTCCCCCACCTGAGAAAAACACACATGGCCACAGGACAGAGACAAGATGGGCCACCCTTCCATGTGGTTTGCCTCCCCCATGCCTGGAAAACTTGGCAGGAATGGTTGGAGAGCCAGTGCTGGCAGGAAACGGTGGCTAGCTGGGATTTGATACTGGCAGGCACTTGCATGGCACTGGAGTGAGGCTGCAGTGCTGGTACAGGCAGCCGGAGCGGGGCTGCAGGTCCCCCAGGTGACTGGAAGGACCTGCAAGACACCTGTTGGATCCAGTGATGAGACCTGGTCACTGCAATTTCGATGTGCATTGGTCAAAGTGATGGTCACAGTCCAGATCCATTAAGGTGGTGGTGGAAGCCTTGATGGTGAGGGAAGCCCTGAAACTCAGTGTTATATATGCTCAGGTTCAGGTGGGAACACCTGTGATACCTTCCCTGAGCCGGGGGAGTTTTACACTGGATGACGTAATACTGTGAGTCACGGGGATGCTTCAGGAGTCTTTGACACCTGCTAAGATGATGCAGCTGTCTCTCAGATCAGTGTGGCTGAGTCCATTGTGGCCCATTATGGCTCATCAACAAGAGATGAATACCTTCAGGCTGGTGTGAAAGTTCCTGGGAGTTATCCCAGCTGAGTCATCTGTGTAAGGAAAAAGAAACACTGCCCCACCTTGCAGGATTTGCCTCTTGCTTATCTTGTTTAACACCCAGCTTGTAGCCTGAGGTGTCAGATGTGCACACCTTGGGCACCTGGCCTGGGTGGCCACTCTGCACCTTGTTAGCAAAGCACACACCAGCAAAGCACACTGCTGATGGAGCCATGAGCACTAATAGTCCAGTTTCTTACAGCACTGGGGCAGTCACTGCAGGTAGTCTAATGTTTGAGTCATTAATTATTAGTAGTTCAGTCTCTTTAAAGAAGGCAAAACACCAAAAAGCCCAAAAGACCTATTTGGTGAAAAGCTGGACATGAGAATTTTTATGTAACCCAGAATAATGTTGCAAGAAGGGCATTGAAAGGAAACTCAAAGCAGAATGTAAGAGAACATAAGCAGATATGGTGAGTTTCCTGAGTTCAATCACAGTACCATATAGATATATAGATATATACCTAAGTTCTACTGTTCTGTCCTCCCCCACTTAAAAACTAGAGAAAAACCATATATTCCTGAATTTGAGAGACAGTGGGTTTGTGTCTTCTGCACTGGTGAAATAGTTCAGGAACAGTTCATCATATTAAAAATACTGTAATACTGCCTGCCAGGTAAGCAAGAAGCTCATGTTATCTGCTGTTTTTCTGGTAGTACTGCTCATAAAACTTGTACTTGCTAGGG